CGGTCGGTGCTGATGAAGGATGAGGGTTTGCTCGTCTGCAGCCCCTCCAGCAGAGCGCTCTTCCCCTGCCGTGGAGGACCCACCACCATCAGCTTCAGCAGTCTGCAGGGCTCTGCTCCTCGCAGCTCCGCTCGCAGATACGCCAGAACCGCAGCCGGACCTGCACACGTACAACTCTGCAGTTTATTGTTTGCAAATGTGAAATGTAACGCAGGGAATTCTGGGAATGTCAATTTACGGTTATTTACTGTAAATTATACGTTCTTTTTTACTTCCAAAAACGGTATACTACCGTAAAGTCACTGCGTCCCGATACGCCTGCTTACAAATGTATAAATTCACAGCATTTGAAAAACAGTAGCCCCCGGATGACCTACTACTTCCAGCGAGAATCTGAGCTTTCATTCAAACTACCCACATTCATACTATGTGTGACCCTGGACCACAAAACCACAAAGTTGTCCAAATGAAGATCTTAGCAATACATATTACTAATCAAAACTGAAGTTTTGATATATTTACGGTAGGAAATTTACAAAATATCTTCATGGAACATGATCTTTACTTAATATCCTAATGATTTTTGGCATAAAAGAAAAATCTATAATTTTGACCCATTCAATGATTGTTGGCTATTGCTACAAATATACCCCAGTGACTTAAGACTGGTTTTGTGCTCCAGGGTCATATAAGACAGTACTTTTTAACGGTTGTGAAGCAAGTTTCAAACCAAATATAGTACCTACTAGACAGTATGTGAGTTCAGACGCAACTAATGTCTCCATCACTACACTACATGTTCTTCATTACTTATAGTGGCATATTCTCTGTTTTTTCCCTCTTTAATTAAACCGTTTAATTCTTAAAAGACTTAATTTATTTCCTTCTTTTTTTGGTTATACGTTACAATAATGTTCCATTTGTTAACATTAGTTACTACACTAGTTAACACAATCTAACAATAAAAATATGCTCCTAAAGCATTTAGTCATCTTAACGTTAATTTTGACATGCATTACATTGTTAAAAATCAAAAGTTGCATTTGTTAATATTGTTTAATGGACCTGAGCTAACATGAGAACTAAAAAGAACAGTTGTATTATTTTTATGTTAATAATAATAATAATAATAATAATAAAAATATTCTCCTTTATTTGGATTTAAGCTCCATTTTGATTAATTATTTAAAAATTTGCTTACTGTTAATTTTAATTTGCTGAGCACATTTAAATATATTACTATTTAACATATTAAAGTGTGATAACAGCAATAGAAGAGTTGTTAATATTACTCGTTTTCTCCACGTATTTTATCTTTATATTACACTTTATATTTAGCATTAAAACAAAGTTTAAGGATTCTAATGTTAGTTAATGCATTAACTTGCATTAACTGTAAAGCATGATCTCAGTAAAGCAAGTTTTCCTTTATTTGACTTAAAACTTCATTTTTAATTATTTCTTAATTTCTTTTTTTTAATTTGTTGATTGTCACTTTAAGTTACTCAGCACTTTGTTATTTGTATTTTATACTTTAAAATATCAAAGCGTCTGTTAGTAGATGCTTTCTTCCAAGTGATAACGGCAATAGAAGATTTGTTACTGTTACTTTTTTCTTCACTTTCACTTTATGTTACTTGTTATTTTAAAATATATCCACAAATCACGCGTAAAGATTCAACATAAAGAGTCTTAAGCCTTATAAAGTAAAAATTGACTATTCTGTGCAATATTTAATCATTTCTATGGTGTTGCAACATGAACTTTGCAGCATGCTAATCTATTGAAATCAGTTTTGAGCCTCCAACATCATATGTAAAGCACTTCCACACGAGTGACATGAGCTCCAGGCATCTTCAGATGAACCCACAGTGCTCATGTGTTTGTTAGGGACGCGCTACTTCCTCTCAAATCTCTTGAGCCTGTTGTTATGACAGTAAAACGCACTAAATAGTGCAACAGACGCATCAGACGAATTGACAGCTGGCTGAACGACTCACAGCTGGAAACACCAAGGAAATATTCATCAGACAAATACTAGATTAAACAGCCGGAATATCATGTTCTCTAACGCAAAAAAATAATAATAAATAAATAAAATAATGTCATGCTCAACATGACAACATTTCTGTTTGTTTAATACAGAACATCCTTCTTACCCTAATTAGCTTCAGAGACACATTTATGCATTTGGTCCACGCTTTTTATCAGAAGCACATTGCATTCGACATGTACATTTTATCATGCATTATGATCTCATAACATTGATCTACTACAGCAAAATACAACTCAAAATGCACAAGATGGATACCAAGCATTATTCATTCATTCATTCAAGACTTTTTTAATATTTTGATTTAGCTTCTATTTTTATATTTCAAGTTAATTAAAATTTAAACTAATTTTGTTATGTGTTTTTGTCTTTTTTAATATTATAAATAATGTTTTCATAGCATCAATATATTGTAGATATTATTATAGATTTTATTAGTATTTTGAATTAGCTTTCATTTTTATATTTTCAGTTTTCATTTTAATTTACTGTTATGTGTTTGTCATTTTTTTATTTTTTTTTTTGTAATATTACTAAGGTTTTTATTTTGAATTTTCATTTAAATTTTGTTTACACAATTTTTGTTATGCATTTTTGTCTTTTTTAATATTATAAATCATTATTTCCTTATGTTTTCATTTATATATATATACATATATATATATACACACATATACATATATATATATATGTATGTATGTATGTATGTATGTATGTATG